GACTTCCTCGAACGTTCACACTCTTACCCTCCTGCCCCTTCCTCCCCATCCAACCTCCCTCCTCCCTCCCCTCTCCCTCATATCCACCCTCCTCCTCCCTCTTCCTCTCTCCCCTCACCCTCCTCCCATAACCCTCCTCCCTCCTCTCTTCGCCCTCCCCTCTCCAGCCTCCTCCTTCCTCCCTCCTCTGTCTCTCTATCTCCAATCGTCCCCCCCCCCCTCCTCGCCCCCTCTCTCCTGGCGTGTTCCCCTTTAGCCTCGTCCCTCCCCCTCCCTTCCTCCCACTCTCCCTCGTTCTCCCCCTTCCTCTTCTTGCAGGGCCCGCGCTAATTCCAATGGTGGGCAAAGAGATGCGTGCCCCATCCTCCGAATAATTCCCCGCCCGTTCACGCCCGCTTGTCTAAGCCCGCCCGCCCCCGCAAAAAGAAAGAATCCCCCCAGAAGGGGGTGCGCTCGAAGACGAAGGGGGCGGGTATCGAGGGCGTGGGTATACACGTTGCATGGCACGCGGGCAAGTAAGAGCGAACAGTCTTAAAATGATTGTTGTTGTTGTTGTTGTGGTTGTTGTTGTTGTTGTTGTTGTTGTTGTTGTTGTTGTTGGTTGTTGTTGTTGTTGTTGTTGTTGTTGTTGTTGTTGTTGTTGTTGTTGTTGTTGTTGTTGTTGTTGTTGTTGTTGTTGTTGTTGTTGTTGTTGTTGTTGTTGTTGTTGTTGTTGTTGAACATTATTCCTTCTAAAGAATTATTATTGTTGGGACCCCTGGTGCGCGACCTCTGCGCCGCGCCTAGGCCGCAGCTACATTTTCATCATTTTTTCGCGAAAGCTTCAGAAAAGTGGATGAGCTCCGGATCCGGTTTTTTGTTGACGCTCGTTTTCCCTTGCAAAAAACAATAGAAAATGAAAATTCTTGTTTTTACTTGATCAAATTGCAAGAATCCCTTGCAAAAAATAAGGTAAAGTGGACATTCGTGCGCGCAAGACGAAATCCTTCCAAAACCTTAGGTTTCGTAGCGATTTTAACATAAAAACATCAAAAACCCAATGGTTTTCTCAGAAAAAATTGTCAAAATGTCCTTCCGCGCGCTCTTGCGGATTCCTAGGAAACCCACCAGATTTTAAACATTTCTGTTAAAAGGGCCTTTGCGAGGAACCTTTTCAGGTGCTTCGACCTTCTGCAACAACGGTTGCGAGCCTACGAGGGCCACCATCCCTTGCAAAAAATGACACGAAGTGCACATGCGCGCGGCCGCCGCGCGCGCGTGCCGAAATCCTGCCAAACATAATGTGATTTCAATAATTTCAAGATGCGATGTTCCGAAAACATATGCAAACGCAAGACTTTCTCATCCGAAAAATATCAAAATCCACCCGCGGGCTCTTCATGAATCTTTAAAGCCCAAGATGGCCCCAAGAGGCGCTCAAGATGGCCCCAAGAGGCGCCCATGAGGCCGCAAGAGGCGCCCAAGATGGTCCCAACAACAACAACAACAACAACAGCAACAACACCAACAACAACAACACCAACAACAACAACAACAATTACTGGCTCTCTGTCTTGCTCTCTCTCTCTCTCTCTCTGTCTCTCTGTACTATGTATGTCATACGCAACAAATGCACCATGCGGGGCACATGCGGGGCCCAAACAAGTGATCAACCTCTGCGGGTGTGTACTCCGCGCCAGTGTAGTATCCACGATCGTCCGCGCGCCACGAAGTGAAGTGTCCTGACGTCATAGGGCGGGAAGCTGGGTGTGGGTGGTTCCCGAGAGTCGTGTGGATGTTTGGTAGAGCTTGCATTGCCCCCCCACGAAGTGGGGGTATTGGCTGGCGTCGCATGAAAACCCTGGCACTGGGGAGAACACTGAGCGTTCGGGTAAAATGTTGTTTGTTGTTGTTGTTGTTGTTGTTGTATTGTTGTTGTTGTTGTTGTTGCTGTTGCTTGCTGTTGCTGTTGTTGTTGTTGTTGCTGTTGTTGTTGTTGGTGTTGTTGTTGTGGTTGTTGTTGCTGTTGCTGTTGCTGTTGCTGTTGTTGTTGTTGTTGTTGTTGTTGTTGTTGTTGTTGTTGTTGTTGTTGTTGTTGCTGTTGTGGTTGTCGTTGTCGTTGCTGTTGTTGCTGCTGTGGAAGTCCATGAATGGAGAGGAAGCGTGCTGCCAAATAATTTCCAGATGTCTAAACCATGTTCCAAACATGCTTTCAAGTAGGTAAAACATGTTTGACACATTTTTGGAAGATGTTCTACGCAATTTAAACGTATGTTTAGTTCAATGATCGGATTGTCAGAGTGTCCATTGCCATGGCATCCGCAATCCTGTTGCCGCCGCCTCACCCGGGCCGCTCGCTCCGCAACGGCTCCTCCTTCGCGACCCGTCGCTGTGTACTCTGTGCTGCTCCTTCTCCCGCGCCCTGAACCCCCAAGAGTGGCCCCCTGGGCAGGTTGCGCGCCCACCGTTCTCAGGCCGGCCACGGCTGGGGGAGCCGTGGTCCTTACCCCCCTGGGGGACCCATCGATTTCAACACCCCTCTCGAGAGGTCGTCGATGCGATGGGTTCCCCCAGAGGGGGTCAGGACCACAGCTCCCCCAGTTCTGGCTGGTCGGATGCTTGCCCCGCCCGGCGGTCTTTCCCGGAGCGTTGGCACCGGGGGCCCCCTCCCTCCATCCTGGGGCCCCCCCGAGGCCCCACAGACGCCCGCTGCCTTGCCCCGGTGGCGCGTCGCATGCGCACTCGCGGCCTGCTGGCTGTGTGCTCTCTCTCTCTCTCTCTGTCTCTCTTTCCAGGAGGGGAAATCACACACAGACGCAATGAGACGCGGGCCTCCATGCAAATGTGTGAAACTATGGGAAGTGTGGGGGGGGGGGAAGACGAAGACCCGGGAAATACAGGGAAACATCTGGGGAATGCTGGGCGTCATCCCTGGGCCCCTTCACAAGGGCGCCCTCGAGGGCGCGACGTTATTCGCGCTTCGCGCTTCGCGGCTCGGCTCCGATTCCTCCTCCTCCTCTTCTCCCCGGGGAGGCGGCGCGAGAGCGCGAAGGTATTCGCGCTTCGCGCTCCGCGCAGCGCGAAGTTGGGAGCCCAGCCGCGCTGCGCGGGCCCTCCCTCGGACCTCCAGGGCGGGCCCTCTGGCGCGCCCGTGTCGCTGCGCGCCTCGAGGCTCTTCTGGCGCCGTCTCTCGACGGCCGGGCGCCCTCGTGGCCTCCTCCGCCGCGCCCCCCTCCCCCTTTTGCTGCCCCTTCCTCGCGATCCACAGGGCTCCCTTTTGCAAGGGCGCCCTCGAGGGCGCGAAGTTATTCGCGCTTCGCGCTTCGCGTTTCGGCTCCGATTCCTCCTCCTCCTCTTCTCCCCTGGGAGGCGGCGCGAGGGCACGAAGGTATTCGCACTTCGCGCTTCGCGCAGCGCGACGCGCGAAGTTGGGAGCCCGTGTGTGTCGGCCGCACTGGCTCGCGGCTTCCTGCCTCTGCGGCGCCGCGCTCTCCGCGACGTGCCTTCCCGCCGGCGCGCAGCCCCTTCCTTTGGGGCCGGCCTCGCGCCGCCCCGCGCTCCGCACCATACAGTGGAGACCCATGCCGAGCGACGCCCTGCTTGCCTCCAGGGTGCCCTGGGTTGCTTGGGTTTCGATGGCTCTGCTGTGGAGAGCGTGCCGCTCCCACCCCGGAAGTCCATGGACGTCCTGGGGCCTCGGGGTACTGGGCCTCAGGGCTGGGTTTCCTGTGGACGGCCTCTGGTGGACTGGCCTCCGCTGCATACCTCTGGCGCGCTCCTTGCCCGCTGCCGCCCCCGCCGCCCCGGCCCCGCTGCCTCCCGCCGCCCCGGCCCCGCCCCGCCGGGCCCCGGCGCCGCGCTCTCCGCGACTTGCCTTCCCGCCGGCGCGCAGCCCCGTCCTTTGGGGCCGGCCTCGCGCCGCCCCGCGGTCCGCCTGTGACTCCGGCGTGCTCCTCTCCCGCTGCTGCCTCCCGCCGCCCCGGGCCCCACCTGGCCGGGCTCTGCTGCCTCGCCCGCCGCCCCGGCCCCTCCGGCCCGGCTGCTGCCCTGCCAGCGCCCCGCGGGGGGCCGACCGCCCGCGACCGCTCTGCGCGCGCGGGCAGGTCGCCACGGAGAGTCAGTCCTCTTGGCCGCTCTCGACCGACAAGCGTGTGTGTGTGTGTGTGTGTGTGTGTGTGTGTGTGTGTGTGTGTGTGTGTGTGTGTGTGTGTGTGTGTGTGTGTGTCTGTGTGTGTTGTGTGTGTGTTGTGTGTGTGTGTGTGTCTGTCTGTGTGTGTGTGTGTGTGGGTTTGGATTGTGTGTGTGGGTTGTGTGTGTGTGTGTGTGTGTGTGTGTGTGTGTGTGGGTTGTGTGTGTGTGTGTGTGGGTTGTGTGTGTGTGTGTGTGTGTGTGTGTCTGTGTGTGTGTCTGTGTGTGCGTGAGTGTTGTGCTGAGTTGTGTCGTGTGCTGTCGTGTTGTGTCGTGTTGTGCTGTGCTGTGCTGTGCTGTGTTGTGTTGTGTTGTGCTGTTCTGCGTTGTGCTGTGTTGTGTTGTGTTGTGCTTTATGCTGTGCTGTGTTGTGTTGTGTTGTGCTGTGTTGTGTCGTGTTGTGCTGCTCTGTGTCTGTGTTGTGCTGTGCTGTGCTGTGCTGTGCTGTGCTGTGCTGTGTGTGTGTGTGTGCCGTCATTGCCTTTCCCCGGTCCTTCAATCACGAAGGCCAGCGTGCTTGCGGGAGCGCCCGCCTCACCTTCGGGGACGTGAGCCCGTCCCGGCGACGGCAGGAGGAGGAGGAGGAGGAGGAGGAGGAGGAGGAGGAGGAAAAGGAGGAGGAGGATGGGGGAGGGGAGGAGGAGGGGGAGGGGGAGGGGGAGGGGGAGGGGGGAGGGAGGAGGAGGAGGAGGAGGAGGAGGAGGAGGAGGAGGAGGAGGAGGAGGAGGAGGAGGAGGAGGAGGAGGAGGAGGAGGAGGAGGAGGAGGAGGAGGAGCCTCGTTCGTTCGTGCCTCGGCCCCCGTCGCTCCCCCCTCCGGCCTCTCGGCGCCCAG